TTTGAACTTGGACTTAAAGCCTCCAAATTGTAAGAATAAACTCCTGTTTGTTTAAGCCATCCCATTTGTGATATATTCTTGTCAGAGCAGTACTAGGAAACCAGAACAATGCTCTAAATGTATTACATCTTTTGCATCTGCAATTCATTGCAACATTCTCTTTTTGTCTGGCTTTGCATAATAAATATTTGTGTTTATTATTTTGTTATCCTCTTAAAGTCCTCAGGTCAAGGACTGTGTGTGTGTGTGTGTTTTAACTTCTGGTATATGGTATATTTTTGAAATGTCAAATAGAGTGATTTTAACATAGCAGATTTTCAATAAATATTTGTTGAGTGAATCAATAAATTCTTTAATATATTCATTTAATATTCAACACATTATTATATACATAAAAATTGTATTGTTCCCAAGAAAAATTATTAACCTACCATCACATCTTGGAAAAGGATAGTTCCAATTTCTGTTGATTCCATGCTGACAAGTGAGGACTGAATGGCCTATTAGAATGTATCCAGGATAACACTCAAAAGATATTGATTGTCCCACACTGTAATCCGAGTTGATCATATAACCATTTTGAAAAGTAGGAGGATCTGGACAGTTCTGCAATTCATAGGCTGAAACAAACAAAAAAACCAAAATCAAGCTCATGTATAAGGTTAAATTATTCTAGAATTTAGAGGAAGAATATGATCACAAATGGCTTTTTAAACTGTCTTCCAAGTTGCCAGTTACCATCTTAAAAGAAAAAACATAGTAAATAACATTAATAATAGGATTATAATAACTTGCATTTGATGAACTTTTACTGTGTCCTTCAGAGGTAACAAAATATACTAAAAAGGAGTTTGACAAGGTTTGACTTAGAAAGTATATGAGATAAATTTAATAAAAATGTAATACAGAGGGATATAAAAATGTACATGGTGAACAAAGCATTATATGATTAATTTAAAAGACAAATATACAAGGAAATTTGCTGCTGTTTTATTTTGTTTACTTAGTTGTTCAATAAAAAATAGTGTTTTGTTCAATACAAAATAGGAAAACATAATAATCAATTTCTTTACTTTGTTCCTTGAAAAAGAAAAAAAACACCCTGTAGAATTATTAAACTAACAATTGCCATCACCACAATCTTTTGTAACATATAGTTTATTATGTTCTGTCATTTCTTTTTTGTGCCCTAGAGTAAATGCTAGGTAGGATGATACATAATAAATTTTAGTGTAGTCTGTGTGATTCCATATTTTACCCATAAATTAGTAAAAGTTTATGATTCTATAAATTAGATGCAATCTCCTGATATTATATCATCCTTCAACTGAGTAAGCCATCTTACAGACAATGTTCTTTCCTAACCTGTTAGAAAACGGCATTGGTAGGACAACTGTTAGGTGCTCAACTACTACCCAAAAGGTGGACAATTCAAGTTCTGGTAGGGTAGTGCCTAAGGCACTTGACTGCTAACCAGAAGGCTGGAAGTTCAAACCCACCAGCCACTCCTTGGAAGAAAGGTTGGGCAATCTACTTCTGTAGTGATACCACCTGGGAAACCCAAGGAGGGGTCGCTATGAGTTGGATCTGACTGGACAGCACAAAAAACAACAGCAGCTCAGCAGGAGAAAATCCTAATGGCCTGCACCTATAATCATAACAGCCTAGAAAACTCTATGGGGCAGTTCTACCCTGCCCTGTAAGGTCTCTGTGAGTTGGAATCAACTTGACAGCACACAACAATTCTGGTATGGGGGGCACAGATAATGTAAAACATTAGAAGCCCACCAATATATCTTTTAATCCTTAGAATACTCTATTACACATAAAGATGACTGGAAATTCACTCCTAATAATAATAACAAGGTCATGCTGTGAAGAACCATGTTAGAAAGAAACTGTGCTCAGCAAATGTTGTCATACATTTCTGTTAAAAAGAGACAAATGACTCTCAGCACTAGGGTATCCACAATCAGTTTAGAAAGAATAAGAGGTCATGCACTAGTCTCCTCACAGTCAACTGAAAATAGAACAGTGTGAAGAATGTTAAGTGAATGCTAGAGAGACCTCTCAGGTGTGAAGTAATGTAAAAAGGAATTCTCAATGCATATTGTTCCACGAGGTGATTGTTGGTGGTGGTAAATAAATCATTTTGAATGTTTTTAATAACTACTGAAAAATTAAATATTCTATGACTTATGCTGGGCTTTTCCAGAGTTTGAATTTTATATTTCTGCATTAAGCACCTGAAATAAGGAAGGGTGGGAGAGGATAAGGAGATTAAAGCCAATAGTGACATATGCAAAACTGATAGACATATGAAAATCTATGATGAAGGAATATTAAGTAGTTTATTAACATCAGGGTAATAGCATACATGACTTGGACATATCCAGAGATTAAACTTAAGAGGCAAGTCAGATTCAGAATATGAATTAGCCTGTATGTCATATTAAAGAGATAGAATTTTACCATAAAGCTAATGTGTGATTCACATGGAAAGGTATTAATCAGAAGATATTATAAGTGAACTTGCATTTTGAAAGACCAATGTAGTTGCTGTCTAGAGTTTGGAGTTTGTATTAGCTTCCTGGAGCTTCCATAAAAAAGTACCACAAACTAGGTGGGTTAAAACAACACAGATACATTCTCTCACAGGGAAACTATAATGTTTCTAAACAACGGTCAGGTAAGCAGAAGAGAGACTGAAAGTGAGAAGTAGAAATAAAAAGATAAAAAAGAGGCAAAGACTTTTGAGCATCTTGAGATAAGTCCTGATATTGGCACTCGAGGCGATAAAGAAGGACACAGTGTCAAAGTCCTTTTAGACTGCATATGGAGAGAACATTATCTACAGGGAGGCACTGCACAGTATCTGAAAACCAGGACTCCACCACTGATTTTTGTCTCTCATTACCAACAGAGCTTTGCATAAGTTTTCCCTAATTGTTCTTGAACCTATAATGCAAATGATGAAGAGGAGTGCTGGCTACCCAACAGCATTATAGTGAAAATCAATTAAATTAATTTATGTGATAATACTTTATAAATTATAATATTCTATAAATAAAGTGATAATATGAAACATGGAAAAAGGTTGCTAAAGATGAATATTCTCATTAACTCAGTATTATCCTTTGGCACATAGGTGTCAGAACTCTGTTAAGTAGATGTATTTTTAATATAGATTTGTTGTTCTTGTTATGTGCCATTGCATTGTCTCTGACTCATAGTGACCCTATGCACAACAGAAGAAAACACTGCTCGGTCCTGTGCCAATTATGGAGTGAATTTTCTAGTGCTGTTTTTGGTGGGGCTACATGATACCATGGAATTAAAGAGACAACTAGAAGTAGGAACTCTCTATATAAGAATTTATTTCAGTTCAATAGGTGTTATAAGAAAATTGTTATTAATGAATTTCAAAGTTCTAGAGAGCTCTGGTGGCATAGTGCCTAAGGCACTTGACTGCTAACCAGAAGGTTGGTGGTTCAAACCCCCCAGCCACTTCTCAGAAGGAAGGTTGGACAATCTACTTCCATAGAGATACACCTTGGAAACCCAAGGAGTGGTCACTATGAGTCAGACATAACAACAACAAGAAGAAGGATCATTTACAAAAGAAAAAGTGTTTCTACATCACAATTTTCTGAAAATGGAATTTGAAATCCAGCATAAAGATAACAGCTGCAAAGTCTGGAAAAGAGTGTTATCTATTTGTGTTTTAATATTATAAGTATAAATTCGGACTCCTCAAATTTTCCACATAATATCTGACTTCAAGAGGAAGAAAATCTATAGTTGTTCATCTGAAAAGACTATTCAGACCTACAAAAAACAAGTCCATCTTAAAAGACATACCTCAAAGGCTAGAATAGCATGTCTATCCTTAATATTTGCTTTTGTATATTATCACATACTATTTGAAAAATTAGGTACTTGGAAATCTAATGTAGGAATAGGGAACATAAATCAGTTTTCTTCTCTCTCTGCCTCTCACATACACATATAAAGACATATCCCTATTGTGGTGCACCGGGGAGAAAACACACAGCAAGGCCATTTCCCACACTAAAAGCCATAAAACACCCATTTCCTGAAAACCAAATGTGAATGATGCATTTAGCATAAATATTAGTTACTTTATTTTTATATTTGTTCCAAATTTCTTGTTTGAGAACTTTACTATTTAAACATTAACATCAATAATCTCCCAAGCATTTTATATATATCAGACTTTGTTTTCTTAAATATCTTTCCCAAAATTTGATTCATTATCACATTTAATGCAGTTATATATGCATTTATATAAAAGACTGTGCTCGAAGTCTGAATTAAAGTAAATAAAAACAAGTAATAAAAATAATTCTTTAGAATGTTAAATATGAAAGAATTTTGGAATCCATATTGAATGCTTTTTAGCCAAGATGCAATGGCTATCGTATTGTCATTTTGATCACTTACAAGTACTTCTGAAGGTCTGTGGACTATCAAAAATACATGGTTTTACAGGTATGGATGTGATTAATGTGTTCTTTAGTAAAAGGCATCTCAATCAACTGTCATAATCTTCATGTAATCATGGCTTTGATATTCTCTACTCATCACGAGGGAGCTCTGGTAGCATAGTGCCTAAGGTACTTGACTTCTAACCAGAAGGCTGGTGGTTCAAACCCACCAGCCACTCCTCGGAAGGAAGATGGGGCAATCTACTTCCGTAGTGATACTGCCTCGGAAACCCAAGGAGGGGACACTATGAGTCAGGTCCGACTTGACAGAACATAACAACAACAGCAACAACTCATCATGAAGCATTAATTCCCATAAATTTATTTTAAAAATATAAATATATTTCATTTAAGGGGGGAAAAAAAAGGACATACCCCAGTGGAATTTAATAAAGAGGTTAACTTCTAGTATAAAGGACAGCAAAGCCAGTTTTTGAGCATATTCTGGTTCAGCCGAAAGTTAGCAACTTGTTCATATATTTCTATATCCCCATATTTGATGATTCCTAAGAAGCTCTGGTGGTGTATTGGCTAAGTCATTTGGTTGCTAATCAGAAGGCAAGTGGTTGAAACCCACTAGCCTCTCCTGGGAAGGAAGATCAGGCAATCTACTTCCGTAGTGATACTGCCTCAGAAACCCAAGGAGGGGTCGCTATTGAGTCAGATCCGACTCTAGGGCAGTGACTTTGTTTTTGGTTTGGTTTTAAAGACTTTTAGAGGTATGATCTAATAGTTATATAATATTTGTTGTACTAAGAATCATTGAAAAGTTGAATTAGTAAAGATAATTATCAATAAATAAAGCCTTGGAGTATTTTCACAGAGGTACTAGAAGGAAGCCTATCACTGATGCTAGACTTGTTTCTCCTCACATAAAATTACATGATCTTGGACACATCATATTAACTCCAGGAGGCCTTTTTCTTCATTTATGCAAGAGGATTAAATATACCTGTGCTTTGGGAGAATCAAGAACACCTGGTGGCACAGTAGTTAAATGCTAAATGCTTGTCTGCTAACTGAAAGTTTGGAGATTCTAACCCATCAGCCACCTATGGAAAAAAGATATGGCAGCCCGCTTCCATAGAAGCTGCAGCCTAGGAATCACTTTT